GCAATACAATTCCTTTTATGCCTAAGCTTGTTTGAATTTGGTTTCTCTCATGTGCAACCTAGATAACCCACTGCCTATTTCTTTTATCTTTGAAGTTACTCAGAGGCGTCTACACTGAGTTTCATTTTTAACAACCTCCCACCTGCCTTCAATTTAATTTCCTTTAGAAAACGCTGGCCGTGAAATCTGCACTTCTACGGTCTAGGATGGTTTTTCTGTCCCTTTTCTATTTTGTGAGCTCCTCCATGAGAAAGGTTTCCATGGTCAAAGGCATTTGGGAAATAAATGCTGTGTACAATATTACTTTCTTGGAGATTCATGATGTAGTGTATTAAAGAATTCCTGCAACGAATAAATGCATTTAACTTTGTGTAAGCAGGGCATCCAAATCCTTGTTTTTCTGTAACATGCAATATCCCCAATCCTGACATTACAGAGAGTCCATACCATTTCGATCCATGTGTGACAGAGCTTGCCTTCTTTACTTCCTTCCTCCCTCCCTCTCTTCCTTCCTTCCTTCCTCTCTCTCTCGTTCTTAAAAAATAAAAGTTTAATTTTGATAGAGAGTACAAGTGGTGGATGGGCAGAGAAAGAGGGGGACAGAGGATCTGAAGCAGGCTCTGTGCTGACAGCAGCGAGCCTGATGCAGGGCTCAGACTCATGAATTGTGAGATTGTGACCTGAGCTGAAGTCAGATGCTCAACCTATTGAGCCAACCTGGTGCCCCAAGCCTGCTTCCTTTAAAATGGCATATTCCCAAGGTGCCCTGCAGAATAATATTTGGCCAAGAGGGCATCCTGGTGTGGGGCATTGTCAGCCTGGAGGAAAAGGCATTTTTGATAATTTTCACAGTCCTCTATTCACTAAGCATGAGCCCCATGGGCTGGGTCCACTCTAAGGGGGTGCCTTTTTCAAATTCACTCAGGCACCAAAGGTCCTTCCAGTCAGCCAGAATTAAACCCAGAAGAGTGGTTCTCTCACTGCTTCCTTAAGTTTCTTCTTCTTTTTTTAGGTTTATTATTTATGAGAGAGAGAGAGAGAGGAAATGAGAGAGAGCGAGCGAGCAGGGGAGGGGCGGAGAGAGAGGGAGAGAGAATCCCAAGCAGGCTCTGTGATGTCAGCACAAAGCCTGGTGTGGGGCTCCAACCCATGAACTGTGAGATCATGACTTGAACTGAAATCAGGAGTCAGACGCTTAACCGACTGGGCTGTCCAGGTGCCCCTACTTCCTTATATTTCTGAGAGATGAAGCTATCCATGTGGCAAGGCAAGGGTGTGGCAGAGGCTCCGCTTTGAGCAGAATGAGATTTCCAGATGTTGAACTGCTTCAGGACTCACCCATGTTACAGGTTTGGCTGGACTATTTGAAAGAGGCTCTGGCTCCAGGACAGATCGACAATCTCCCCATGGTCATCATTATCACCCTTCTACTATCTACAGTCTGCAGAGAGCTCTCATGTGCTTGCTTCAGCCATCCTGTGATGTACATGGATTTATTTGTGTTATTGATCCTATTTTTCAAATGAGGAAACTGAGGCCCATTTATTTGTCTTCGGTTACATAGCTTGTAAAGGAAGAGCTGGGGATTTCATCTTGGGTCTCACTCTATAGCATCATTTTCCTGTCCTAGTACACTGCCTGTCATCAAGCTGTCTGCGGCTACTCCTTCACAGCCATATTTTAATTCCTTCTTCTCTATCATCACCCAGATATCTCTCATCACCCAGATATCTCCCATAAAGACTTGGGAATTGAGGAGAGGAAGGAATGCCAACGAAGCCAGATGGCATTTGTGGGACCACAGGGCTTGGAGGGTCCAGAAGGCAGCCTCCCTCTTGAGGACCATGGTGGGACGAGGCCTGCCCACATTCCTTTGGGGCAAACACCAAGCAGCAAGATGTGGCCATGCCTCCTCAGGTGGCCCTGCGGACAAGCATCCCTCACCTGCCACCTGCCAGAGTCCAGCCCTCATCCTTCAGCAGGTGTGTACCCTCACTCCTAACCACACAAGGCTCACTCCTCACCAGCCCAGGAAACAAGTGGCTTTGAGGCAGCCAGAGTCTCCAACAGGTGCTCATCATTCAATGACATCTCAGCCTGAACAAGGAGGCCTGGAAAGGATTCAGGTCATCAGTTCCTCTTTCCCATGAGCCACATTTCAAATGCTCAGTTGTGGCTACTGCATTGGACAGTGCAGATAGAGGGCATTTCCACTGCTGCAGAAAGTTCTATGGGATATCACTGACCAGTCTCTCCTCTGACTGGTTTCTGCCAGCCCCAGCCCTTGTTTTAACCCCCTCCTTCTTCATGAGCCTCCTTCCCCAGCGTCAGAGGCAGTGGTTTAAGTGAGAAGTGCCGGTGGATCATTAAGAGATAGCTCAAGCTGCTGGCAGGAGTGAGGCTGTCCTCTTGAGCATTCTGTGTGCCAGTGTGGCTGCCCAGTGAGAGGATAAACCCCTGAAAGGCAGGGGCTCTGGTGTCTTCTGCATCCCTGACCATGCCCTGCATGGTGTTAGACACACAGCAGGTCCTTCATGACGATTATGGTCCACCAGGGCTAACTGGTAGTCAAGATGCTTGGATCAGTGCAGCCCTGGCTTGGGCATGAATTTACTGTGTGATGTCCACTACATCCATCGCTTCCTGCTGGGCCTCAGTTCTTCCTCCTCCAAGGAACAAGGGGATTGGCTGGAATAGGTGGTCTCAGAGCTTTCCTGTTGTTTCCATCCATGTCTGCGGGAGGCAGAGCACAGATCCCCTGGGGTAGGCCCTGTGGTGGGAGCCCATTCTGTCAGTGGCCAGTGCTCAGACCCCACGGGGGGCTGTGCTGTGTGAAAGTGTCTGTAATATGTGCTTGGCATTGTGAGTGTGAGTGTGTGTGTGTATACATTTGCTTTTGCTCCTAAACCAAGGTAACAGGGCAGGAAATCCAACATTAATGTGCAAGGATGTAGCTAACCTCCAGTCAGGCTGTGGGTGTGAGGTCTCCAGGACTCATTATTATTGTTCCCTTTCTCTCCTTTTCCACAGGTGGCTTGATAAACAAGTATGTCCCGGTGTCTGCAAGGCAGAACCTCTTCCTGGGGATCAAGACCCAGCTGTTAGGGGTGTCTACAGATCCCCATGGTCACAGGACACTGGCTGGTCTCAGGAATGTTCTGGAAAGCCAGGCTCTGCCGGGCGCTCCCAGGTATGCCAGAGCTTGGCACGAACCCAAACCTCCCTCTGTTTGCTGGAGGGCAGAGGTACTGAGTTTAGAAAAGTGGATGGGGCCAACTAAGCATCTCTTTGGCAAGAGCAGATGGCCTGGAGCCTGAGGTGAGCCACCAGAAGGCACTGCTGGAGTGACACGTGTGGGGGCCATTTTGTTTCTCAGTCGCAGGCACGGGAGGGCCAACCACACTGTCGGGGAAGTGGCCATAATCACCTCTCCCCGAAGGGCGCTCGGGGGACAGACATGGGAAGGAGAGAGTGGTGGTGGGGGCAGCTCGGAGTCTGCCGTGGGTCCTCCTCCGGGGTAGAAGCCCTGGCTGCCCCCAGAGGCTTGGAAAGCCTGGGCACGGTGAGGGCTGGACCTCAGGATCTGAGGGCCTAGCTTCAGGAATCACGGGGTGGGAGTGGCTTGAGGTGGGGGCTGGGCTGCTTGGCCTCCACCCACCTCAGCCTCCTTCCTGCTGGAATCTTATCTCCCCTCCTCCCTTCCAAGGAGCCCTTCCCCAGGCCCATCCATGACGCCCTGCCCACTTCCTCCCTGTTATGCCCCAAACACAGCATTACTCTTACTTTGGGCCTAGTTTGCAACCATGCCCCACTCACAGGCACCTCTTCACTTTCTCCATCTGGGGAAGTTCTAGAAGCTGCAGGCATCCCTAGATTTCCTGGCTGCATCACTCCGATATCTGCTTGTCTCACCTTCTCCTCTGTCTGACCTTCCTGTACCACTCTTGTGAGGACCCACCTGTATAATCTGGGGTAATGCCAAGACTCTGTTCAAATGTATATTTTTTTTAATGTTTATTTTTTCTGAGAGAGGGAGAGACAGAGCCCGAGTGGGGGAAGGGCAGAGAGAGAGGGAGAAATAGAATCTGAGGCAGGCTCCAGGCTCTGAGCTGTCAGCACAGAACCTGAGATGGGGCTTGAACTCACAAACTGCAAGATCATGACCTGAGTCAGATGCTCAAATGACTGAGCCACCCAGGTGTCCCCAAGACTCTGTATGGATGCCCGGGGCACTATGATGCCTGAACACCCTCCCCTCAGGCAGAGGACGCTGTCTACCTGGCCTGGGTACACTCGTGTCACACTGGACTGTAATCATGTCTCCTCCTCAAGACTGTGTGATCAAGGACCTGATCTTTCACCTTAATGTGGTGCAAAGCCTGACACAGTATACATGGCTAATGAATAGTTTGCTGAATAAATAAATGAATAAACAAGTACAAGAAATAGCTCTGGGGCATGTACACATGATCCCCCCTCCCCCCACCAAGAGCTCATGCGAGCATGGTGCCAGGTCCCTGAGTCCATGCCCTTTGGCTTTCCCACCCTACAAGCTCGTCCACCTCCCCTCCCCCCTCCCCCCAGCGGGAAGACCCTGCTTTCCTTTCTGGGGGCCTCCCAGCTGGGTTGGGATAGTCAAGATGGCTGGTCCCTGTCTTCATATCTTCCTCTTCTGAAATCAAGCAGCCCACCTGCCCAATCATACCTTCCTCCATGCCTCCTTCCCAGCACCTGCCTCAGCCTCCCTGCCTTCCATTTCCAGTGTTATTTCATCTGCCCCTCTCCCACCTACTGAAATCTGAGGAAACCCTGAGCATCACAGTCCACGCAGGGACATCCTTACCCTTCATTAGCACGTTGTCATGTCCTCCCTTCTCCCCCCAATAGAGAGTAGTCCCTCATAGCACAGGTCAAGACAGTCCACCTGAAGCAAACCAGGCTTTAAGAGTCCTGTACCCATCTGCCATCACCCACAGCCCAGGTCCCTGTGCCCAGCTCACCTGTCTCTCCCCAGATGGGCAGGTACTCATCTTGCTGAATGTCCAGCATGATCTCCAGCCCGTTGCCTGTCCCGCCCTTGACCGTGGTGAGCAGAGGTTTTCCATCCTCGCCTGAGTTAAACATGTAACACTTCCCATATTTTGTAAACACCTGGGGGAGAGATGAGAGGGAGAGAAGCACATGAGTGACTTCAGACTAGAGTTTGGTGAGACCCAAGAAGTGCAACATCAGGCCAGAGTCCCCACAGCCTGTCACAATCAAGCCCTCTTGGGGACCAATGATTCATCACTATGGCTAATGATCTGACTTTTGCCAAGTGGGATTCTGGCATCAAAGAACAAATCTGGACACCCCTTGGTGTTTGTTGCAAAGGGATCTTGTCTCTTCTTCCTCTGGGCACTGCCCAGCCCCCCCTCCCCCCCATCCCCAGGTTGTCTTGTCCATTTCCAAATGTTTCACATCATCTGTAAGCCAATCTGCATTTCCAGCCCCAAGCTCTCTCCTGGGATCCACACTTATCCCACTGCCTGAGGAGCATGACTTCAGGGGGACCCACAGTCCTCTGACACTCAGCAGGTGCCAGTGGAACAAACTTCCTCAGATTCTCTGCCCCCACCAGTTGGGTCTCCTGTACTCAGGTCCCAGGGAATAGTATCGGCATATAATGAGAGGCTCAAGCCAGACCCCCAGAGTGGCTGTCCACTCTTCACCCCCATGTCCAATGAACCAGCAGGGTCTGGCAAGGCTGTCTCTACATCCAGCTTAGATTTTGCATTTTCTCTACTGCATTGCCATAACTTAGGACCCAACCATTCCTTGCTTGGGCCACTGCAATTTCTTAGGTAGTCTCCTGGATTCCAGACCACCTTCTGCAGTCCATCCTCCAAGTTCACTGTGGCTCATTCTTTCTGAAATGCAAGCCTCATCTTGTTAATCTTATGCTTAAAATCCATCAGGGCTCCCCAGCCAGGCCCTTTATATCCAGGCTTCTGTGATGCCCTCTGCCTACCCCATCCTGCTGCTTCCCATCTGTGTCCATAGAAATCCATGAGCAGGGAAGCTCCATGCAGTTGGAGACTACACCTGCTTGTTAGCTGAGGTGGTTCGTATGGCACCTGGCACAGGGAGGGCTCCAGGTATATATGATGAATGAATAGATGAATGAATGAGGAAGTGGGTGGATAGAGCCAGATCAGATGACTTGTAACACAAGTGGATGTGCCCTGCTGGTTCATATACTTGTGGCTTCCTATTGACTGCTTCTGCTGCCTGTAACTCCTCTCACCCCTCTTCCCGCCTGGACAGTTCCTAGCTGTTGGCCAAGACTGGCTTGATGTGTCTCCTCCTCCAGAAAGCCTTTCTGAGCCCCTGGACCAAGTTGGGCTACCACCCTTTTCACTATTCCCCTCACTCCTTCACCACGGCAGCTTATCACATGGCCCCAATAATTGGTCTTTTATCTCTTCTGAACTTGACTCTGCCATTCACTTATGAATCCAGGGACTTAAGATATTGGCTATGTAGGTGTTTGTACCACTTTTTCTTGATGGGGTACATGATTACAAAGATGTGGTGTGATCGTGTGGGGAAAGCCCAGGGCAAAGGATGCAGAGACCTTTGTCCAAGTTTGATTTTGCCGCTTATTAGTCATGTAACTACGGGTGAACCAAGTATACCCTCCAAGCCTCAACTTCTCCATCTATAAAATGGGAGTTCTTGTCCTTTCCTTAGCTATTTCTCAAGGTTCCTGAGAGGATCAGCTGAGGTAATACATGCAAACATGCTTTGAAAACTCTAAAAGCTTTCTACAAATGCTATGGGTTATTATGCTTATATAACTGCTTTGGAACCTCTAGTTGACGCCAAATTACATCTGGCAAAATTGGCTGGAAGGGAGCCAGGCCAACTGTACTGGGTTCCTGCAGTCACTGAGGTTTGGGCCCAGGCCCTTCCTTGGTCTTGCTCCACTGCACTGTCCCCTCCTGCAGCGTGGAGGCCACGGGGAGGCTCTTTGGCTTCCCATCCTACAGTGTGAGGGGGCAGGTAAATAGCAGGAGTGAGTGCTGGAAGCTGCTTTTCTCATGCAGATCTTGAAGGCCAGATGGAAGGAAAGAAGAGAGGCCTCTACCAGTGTGCCAGACACTCTGCTAGACACTCATCTATGTTATCTCATTTAACCCTTGAAGCCATGACTGCTGTGGGTATTGCTGCTCCCATTGTGCAGAGAAGAAAACCAAGGCCTGGGTATGTTAAATGACTCACCTAAGTCACACAGCAATTAAGTAGTGATGCTGGGATACAAATCTATGAGTGTCTAACACATATACTCTTTCTGGATGTGCTCTCCTGAGTCTTTGCCATTGGGACTCTTCTGAGCCATATACTGTTTCTCTGTGCCTTGCTTTCTCCATCAGCCAATAGTCATATGCATGCACTCCTACTAAGTGCAAAGATTATGAGGATTGCAGAGAAGTACAAGCCTTACTACCTGGTTTCAGATTCCACATTTTCTTCGCCGTCTAAAACGTCTCTGAGTCCCTGGCCAGCTGCACTATTTCAAGACAGCCAAATCCTTCTCCTTCAGCTTCATGATGGGGGAGAACAGGTGGAATGTGATTTAAAAAAAACAAAAAACCCTAAGCTTTATCATGACTATGGTGGATAGCAACTGCACTTTGCTAACGAATCTGTCCCCTGGAGAGATGTTCTTGGGGACCACTGTAATGAATGGATGAGAGAATTTTGTAGTTAGCGCACCTTTTGCAAGGGGTTGAACACATCTGGAGTGACTCTTGGGTGCTCCAATAGAATTTTTCTCCATAGATCCACTAAGTATGCTTGTTGGTTCCAAAATTAATTATACTATTAATTGCCTATCTATATGAGGAGATTTGTAAGGAAAAGTATATTTCAGCTTCGTACCAGATTACTGCAAAGTCCAACCACCCCCTGTCCTCACCTGGTACTTGAACTCCAGAATCTTGGGCTGAGGTTAGAATGTGAAGCCTACTCCCAGAGTCAGCAGTGATCCCAGCCCAGTGTCTGAGATCCCAGATGTGCTGGGTGGGCGCTGCTGATAAAGGGCACGGACCCTCCGTGAGCTCTTGAGGGTGATGACAAGGCGCGAGAACTCTGAGGGGTCTTACAGACCATCCCGCCTACCCAACTTACTTCACAGGGGAGGAGACGCAGACCTGAGGGAAAGGAAGCTATCTGCCTGAGGCTGTGCAGTGAGGACGTGTCTGTTTGGGACCAGACTCCTGGTTCGGTCTGTGCTTCTTTTACACCAGCCTCTCTCAGCTTCCCCACTTACAATCTCTAGGGGATTGCTACCTTCAGCTGATCGGTGACAGAGTGCCTTCTCTGTGTTGGGCACTGGGCTGGCACCACAGAAGCCTCAATGCATCAAAGTCTTCTCCTAGAGAGGAGAGAGCAGGCAGGTCCTTGTGATAGAGACTCACTCCCCGTCCTTGGCTGCCCACTTGCCGGACCTGGTGCTCATCCTAGGCCCAGGTGGTGGCTCCTATCAGGGGACTGTGGTCTGGATAACCAGAGAGGCAGGACTCTGGAGGGTGACCACACTGTGTCTGAGAGGGAAATGCCCCAGTTCTTTCTCAAGTCAGGATCACCGTAAAGAAGCCTGGGGCTCCTGGGTGGCTCAGTCGGTTAAGCATCCGACTTGGGCTCAGGTCGTGATCTCACGGTTCGTGGGTCTGAGCCTTGCATCAAGCTCTGTGCTGACAATGCAGCAGGCTCTGTGCTGACAGTACAGAGCTGCTTGGGCTTCTCTCTTTCTCCTTTTCTCTCTGCCCCTCTCCTGCTCTCTCTCTGTCAAAAATAAATAAATAAACTAAAAAAAAAAAAAAAAGAGGCTGAACCTCCTTCTGCAGCTTCCTGGTGCATTTAGGATAAGTCCCCAAATCCTCACGGGGCGCTGTATGGTTTGGTCCATCTCCTGTCCCCCCTTCTCTCACGTGCATCAAGCACACCAGCCTCTGTAGTTCCTGGAATGTACAACAGGCTCTTCCCCTGCAGGTGCGTTCCACAGGCTGTTTCTTCTGCCTGCGATGTTCTCCTCATACCCTCTGTCTGCCTTCCTGTGATCACTTCCTCGGAGGCCTGGCTTGACCACTCACCACCCCTGCTCACACCTCCTGTGCATATCAGAGTCTTTAACTAGATGGTTGTTCATGTCTGTTGGGCACGTCTTCCACTAGACCGTAATCTCTATGAGGGCAGGGCCTGGGTCTGTTTGGATGAGCGAATGAAGGGACTCCTAGGTGCTGCCATCCCACATCCCCTTGACTCTGGGAGGCACCCTTTGGTGCCGGCCAGCCTTGCTGATTCTGGCCAGAGCTGGGCCTGACCCCCTATCCGCCCCCCTTCCGCCACCTCTCCTCCCTTTGCCGAGGCCTTCTCAGCTTCCCACTTAATTGTACTTAAGCAGTTTTGCTTGCTTCTGCATGAAAGTATTAGAAGAAATAATCCTTCAAGAGCTAAGACGGTCTACCTTTGTGGGGGCAGGAGAAGGGGCTCAGAGACAGCGAGGCTCACGCTGGCTGCACCAGCCTCCCTGCCTGTGCTGCTGAGCCCGCGGCTCCTGCCTGGTGTTTCTGAGAGGATTATTTTCTTCTCTGCTCAACATCAAAGTCCTCAGAGCTATTTACACACTGCACAATTCTGCTACAAACTGGGGACAAGATGCTGTTCTCCTTCCCCCTTTTGGGGCGTAATGATGTGTGAGTGTAATACACGCTTCAGATTGATGTCTTATCGTCCCCAGCCAGAAAATATAATTTATTGAAGTCCAGACTGTCAGGCCCAGCTCCTTCAGACCTGCCGTTCTTCTAGACATCCCTCTGCTCTCTGGGTGAGTGCTGATGGCCCCATTGTGGATGGCAGGCCTGGATCTGCTCAGTTGCTAAGAGTCTAGAATTGCACTCAGTTGGATTGGGTAGTAAGAGTTAGAGATGCACATTTCAAACCTGGATCTCTAGCCTGGGGGGGGGGGGTCAGATCCTGAGATAAAAATGAGCCTCATGCCCAGCACCTTCATTGCTAACATTGGCATGGTGCATTATGGTGTAGACAGCTTATGTACAGCATCCTTTTTCTCAGTGGCTCCACGAAGGGGAGGAAACTAGCAGTTTCCTGAGCCTGTCCTTTCTACAGGTCCCTGCTTGGCATGTCCATCAGTGTTCTCTCTTTCCTGATTATGGTCCAACTCTGCTGATGGGGAAGCATCTTGTGATCACATCCCTATTTTACAGTTGAGGGGACTCAGGCTGCTGAGGAGGTGGGTGCTAGAGCTGGGGCTCCAGAGGAGGCTTTATCATCAAGGAAGTCACAAGGAAGGAAGCCTGGGATTTGGGACCAGACAGGATGCTGTCAAGGCAGAGCCCTATTTACGTGTCAAATCCGTGGCCCTGAACACAGCATTTTCTGTTCCCAATGCATTTCCTCATCTACAAACCCAGCAAGATAATCTCTTTTTATTTATTTTTGAGAGAGAGAGAATACAAGCAGGGGAGGGGTAGAGAGAGAGGGAAACAGAGTATCTGAAGCAGGCTCCATGCTGACAGCAGAGAGCCTGACTCGGGGCTTGAACTCATGAACATGACTTGAACTCATGAACCGTGAGATCATGACCTGAGCCCAAGTCAGACACTCAGCTGACTGAGCCACCCAGGTGCCAGCAAGATAATCTTGCCATGTGTTTGGAGGGCCTAAATGAGAGGATGTAAGTGGATTTGTCTGGAGGATTGCATAATAGACATCTTTACAAGTCACGAATCCATACTAGGGGGGAGCCACCATGTTTCTCCTTTTCAGCACAAAAGAGGTTAATCATTTGGGTTATGGGTAGGGAGTCAACAATGAATTGAAGGCTGGGGGGTTGAGAGTTCCTGTCCTCGCTGCATACGCCCCTGCAATACCAAGCTTATCTCAAAGTAGTTAGAGGAGATGAAGAGTGCTGTGTGCTACTGATTGCTTATTCCTTAATGATGCTAAGCCTGTTGCTGAAGCCCTGGGCAGCCGATGAGATTACTGGGGCCATGGAGTTTTGTAGGAGAGGGAGATGGTTCCCATGCACACAACCCACCTTGAAAATCTGCATTTGAATTTCAACTGAATTGTAAATAGTTATTGGCATAGTGGAAAGATACCACCAACTGAAGCTGGCACATTCTAAATGAGAGGAACATGGAGGTGGGAATGGGGAGAGGGTCTCACTGCCTTCCCATAGCTCTTAGAGGAGCTCCGAAGTTGGTACCTTCCCTGGAGCACCATTCACTTTACATCTGCCATTACTAATTTTTGCAGCAGCCCTATGAGGTTGGCATTTTCACCCCCACTTTACAGTTGAGAAAACCAAGGCCCAGAGGGGCTGAGCCAGGTCACAGGGCCAGTCAGTGGAGAACCCAGGGCAAAATCCGTTTTTGCCTAGTTCAAAAGCTGACATTCCTTGCCCCCCGTCCCTCATAGCTACAGCTCATACCCACACGGCTCTCCCAAACTTTTCTGCTCCTGGCCAACTGAGATTGGTGGCTTGATAACGCAGGGTTCTCCCAGCTGGTAGTAGGGGAGGTACATCTCAGAGTCAGAGGCATCCTAGAAAAGTACATGAATCTCATCCAAACTTCTCTTTTTCATATGGGAGTCTAAGGTCCACAGAAGAGAAGGGACCTGCCTGTAGCTCGTCTGGGAACAGAGCTGAGCTCTGACCTGGACTTGATGGTTTGGGCCTTTGTCCTTTCTCTAAAGTCAGGAGCTAGAGATAAGGGCAAGGACCCTCTTCTCAGGGCCCTGCATCCAGGAATAAGAGAAAGACTGGCAACTGCTGCTGGCCCGGTGCTAGTATGCAGGCTCAGCGTGACCTACGAGGCCCCTGCCTTATGGAGTCTGGGAAACACAGAGTGGAGCCTTTTCTGGGGAAGGTTAGGAATGGCTGATACCCATGAAGACACAGTTTTCTGGTTCAATTAATAGTGCAAACAACACTTCTCCAGTGTGTACCTACTTAAGAAAATAAATTATGTATAAGCTCCCTTAAGGATTGTTGAAATAGCCACTTACCAGCTCACAACTAAGCCTGCAAGTTTCACACCTCCTAGTCCACTCATTACTCCTGACCTTTAGAGCTTCTCTTAGGCAGTGGGTTTCTTGTGTCTTCTTGCTTATTACACTTGAAGGAAATGAAATTGTACTGCTCCAAAATGCCTCTAAAATCCAGCCTTTCCCTG